CCGGGGCCGGCTGCGACACACGTGTCCGCCAGCCGATGCTGTGCCGAGCAGGCGCAGCGAATACGTACGGAGTAGCAGGCGGAGGTACGTCACCTAGCCAGGGGCCGGGGACGGCAAGCGTGTCCGGCCGAAGATGCTGCGGCGAGTAGCGTACCGAATACGTACGGGGTAGCGGGCGGGGGTATGTGACCTACCCCGGGACCAGGTGCGGCAAGCGTGTCCGGCAGCCGGTGCTGTGCCGAGCAGCGCACCGAATATGCACGGGGTAGCGGGCGGGGGGTACAGGCACCGAATTCACCCGCGGCCCGCGGCACGACTGCCGGGTCCGAAGCTTGGGCCCCATGCCCAGTGTGAGGCGATAGGCCAGCTCCGACCCCGGGCCTTCCGCAGCTTTGCCTCGAGTTTCGCCTGGCGGCAGCTCTCCAGACAGCAAAAACGCCCCTCCTGGGGCCGTGTTTTCTCCAGCACGCCACTTTTATTTGGCTTAATTAAAACAAAATTAATGGACTCATTACAGCCGAGACCTTACGGGCTCACCCTAATAAAGTTGTACGATAGACCCTAACGAGCCGACGTCACGTCACAGCTGTGGATGGCTGACGATGAGCGACTTTCGCCCCGCCATGGTACCGTCTGCAGCCTCACAGCCACAGTAAGGCTCAAGATTTGACTCGGCGCTCTCCTCGGCGGTGTCTTTGCAGTACGCTGGCACAGCGCGGCAAATATTTGCTCCGAAAGACAGACCAGCACACAGGTGGGGGCATGTGCACCGCACAGCGGCTGTTATCGTTCACCAGTCGGGCACACGTTACATCGCAGCGGGCTAGGACACAGGATAAACGTTCCGGAAAAAGCCAACGAGCGGGTGGTGCTTGATACCTCTTATTTTCCGTGCTTGATGCCTCTTTCTAGATATCACACAGATAAAATGCCAAATTAAAATCTGGTGAGCTAAGTTTTACATTTGAGCATGTAACATTTGACGGAAGAATGGTCAAATGGAATGGAATGGAGGGAAAGAAACTGCCAACACGCAACAAACTCAACAAACGCGGGGTCTAGCAATGACAAATTGTTATAAAAATGCCGGTGGGTGATACAATTCGCGCACTGAAACAACAGACGGCAAAATGATGACGCTCATAAAAGCAGCGATTAGAGTCCTGTGATAATCTCGGTGTAAGGAGCGCGCTTTTCCAATCATCGTTCAGCAATAGGCAGCGGGGTAACACGAAGGTGCCATCGGCATCGTTATCACATCACTTTTCACACTGCTGTCACCTTTCAAGCAAAATGTGAACACACTCGCCACCAAACTGAGCGCATCAGGGCTTCACGTACACGGTTTGAGAGCATTTAAGCATGTGCTCATTGCATGGCATTTGCCGGCAGTAGATGCGTCTACGCCTTTTGCGTTTTGGAACCATATCCAGTCTCAACACCAGGAAATCAAGCCTAAGTATTTTGCGACCGGTTTGTCCGCGGTGCAATGCTGTCCATGTTTGTAAGCTGTCTACAAATTAGGACGGCATTCAATACAAACGTATGCTCTTTTACTGGTTTTCAGCAACCCTATAATCATTTTACCTATTTGGCTTTGAGTATTATATGTATTCATCACCCAAGCAATTATTCATCAATATTATTAGCTATTTACGATGATGGTTTAGCGTGCGCCCTTCACGTGTCGGACCCGTTTGGATTTCAGCGCCTGGGCATCAAGCTAGGATACGTCACGACCGGTTTACCCACGGTACATTAGTTTCCGTGCTTGTGAGCTGTCTTAATGATGATAACTTACAGCATTTGCAAGCACGCATACCTGACATCAAACACGGATATTCATAGGTATATATTGCCGACACTTTTGTTTCTGCATGCGATATAGCCAGTTTGAAGGCAACATGACGTGGGCCCTGACCAACAATCAGGGCCGTTTGAACCCGCTACATATCCGTATCACATTGTGCCGTTCCGTGCGCGTGAACACAAGGGTGAAGGTGTGCCGGTGCTTCGTCGTTATCTGTCGCTGCACGGCATGCTCCATGCAGTTGGCTGCAAAACGCCTACAGGCGACTCCTTGTTAGATTTTGCGCCATACATTTGGCTCCCCCGCCCCTCCTGGAAACGTGCGCCGTGTTAGACGGATACTTCTGGCCCGACATGAAGGGCCTGACCCTTGGTACGATATCCCAGGTATTGATGCCTGACGGCTGCATTTAAGTTGCGTTCTTATCCAGGCTGGGGAATTTTAAGGAATCAGGGATCGAAATGCCGAATGTCGGGATGCACGTGCGGAGTTCTCAAATTGTGCAGGCTGTGCGTATATCGGGCTGCACAGCTTGCGCATTTAGTGGCAGTTTGAGAGCCACACATGACTTCAGCGCGCTTGGATCACTTCAGTCCGTGAGATTAAAACACATGTAATACGGGAAGAGGTCGTCTGGCATCGTCACTCGCAAAGGGTAAGCCCAAGACGCTCGAGATCCCACTCGTGGTTTGTGCGAACTGTCTCGTCCAAAACTTGATCCGCTTCTTCCGGTTCCGCTCGGTCGTCAGTCGCTATCAGCGTGGACCGCCAGGTCGTCAGCCACTATCAGCTCTGACAGTCCCACCGTCAGCCGCTATCGGCGCTGACAGTCCAACCGTCAGCCGCTATCAGCACTGACAGTCCAGTCGTTAGCCGCTATAGGTGCTGACAATCCAGTCGTCAGTCGTTATCAGCGCAGACCACCCAGCCGTCAGCCGCTATCAACGCTGACAGTCCAGCCGTTAGCCGTTTTCGGCGCCGACAGTCCAGTCGTCAGCCGCTTTCAGCGCTGACAGTCCAGTCGTCAGCCGCTATCGGTGCTGACAGTCCAGTCGTCAGTCGCTATCGGCGCTGACAGTCCAGTCGTCACCACTATCAGCACAGACCGCCCGGTCGTCAGTTGCTATCGGTGCTAACAGTCCAGTCGTCAGCCGCTATCGGTGATGACAGTCCAGTCGTCAGCCGCTATCGGCGCTGACAGTCCAGTCGTCACCACTATCAGCACAGACTGCCCGGTCGTCAGTCGCTATCGGTGCTGACAGTCCAGCCGTCAGTCGCTATCGGCGCTGACAGTCCAGTCGTCACCACTATCAGGACAGACCGCCCGGTCGTCAGTCGCTATCGGTGCTGACAGCCCAGTCGTCACCACTATCAGCACAGACCGCCCGGTCGTCAGTCGCTATCGGTGCTGACAGTCCAGTCGTCAGCCGCCATCGACGCGGACAGCCTGATCGACGCGTCGCGCCTAATGCGGCCGCCTCGCCTCAGCTGATTTGCATGACTACTTGTCACGCTGCCGGGTGGGCCGCGGGCGCATGCAAACTGACAATGCGATGGGAGCCGCCTCTTCCCTGCCCAGCCGCTAATGCGACGGCGCTGTCCCTCCGAGAAACGACGCCTCCCGGGCTGCGCGTCTGCCACCTGCGTGCCGCCTCCAAAGCCGGCCATCCCGCACAGGCGGTCTCGCGACTTCGCGCGGTGCCCACGCAGAATTAACCGCTGCGTTAGCCTACGCATACCGCGGGGAGAGCGAGGCTATTAATTGTGCGGCTTGGCGGCGGCGCTGGGAGCTTGTCCAGCGGACGCGGAGGGGATGAAGAGGAATGGCCGGTCTGGCGGGTGTCGCGGGCACGCCGCGGCTGATCGTCTGTGAAAGGCTGCTGCCGGCGGGGCCCGCGCGCCGCTTTGTCCAGGTCGGTGTGCCGTGGCGGAGGCTGCGGCCCAGTCTCCGCCAGGCGAGCCTCGGGGGAAAGGGAGCTACGCTGGTGGCGGTGCCGGTGACGGCGCCTGTGTCCGATTCACCGCCGGCGGGGTCGAGAGAAAGACGGCAGTGCCAGCGGTGGGAACACGGGCGTGGCTGTGTCTCAGCACAGTCATTGTCATATTGCTCAGAGGGCGGAGGGCCAGTGGTGGTACTGCGACAGGGCCTACGCGCCTGCGCAGAGAGGACCAATGGCCAGCAAGTTGTGCTCGGTAAGCACAACAGCCAGGCACGTGCCCTGGTAAGCAGCCTGCCACTGGCGCGTATTAAGGTGGAGACGTTTGGTATCCTTTGCCCCCAAACGCGATACACTTTTACTCTTCAAAACTAGGTGGACGCTATCGAAAACTCAATAAAGCAATGCCGCCGCTGTTTGGTTTCCCGTGAGTCGCACGTCATCAGGGCTTCATCGATGGCGATGAACGCCGCTGATTGTGTGCCCATCAGGCGCAGGGCCATCGGCCGCATGCCCGCCGGCGGGCCGCTGTTCTGTTGGCCACCCCGAGCGTCCCAGTGTAAACAGTCCACTGCAGCGGGCACGTGCGACATGTCATGGATCATTTGTCATCAACCGATGGGCCGACCACTACAGGCCATCGTGCACCACTCGCGCCGCTCGCCGCTCCGATATCGAGACCGGCCAGAGGCCATCCAAACATTCCAGCCCGACACTGGAACACCAAGGCGATATTTATCTCCACATAAAGCGCTCCGGTACAGCCTGCTCCCTCTGCAGTGCTTGGCGCATGCATCTGCAATCTGTAATCACTAATGTGACACATGCACGTCATGCGAGGGTTCCTGGGCACCAGGAAGCTGCAATAGTGCGAAGTTGTTTGCGTTGGCTCAGCTACTGGCCTTACTGACTACTAGAGGACTTCATTGGCTTGGGGACACTCATGGATACATATTTGCAATGGGCAACGGGTTGGGCTGTGTACAGGTTTTGTGAATATTATTTGCATGGGTGCGGGTTCAGCAAAACGTCCACAAAATGTCGGACAGGTTCTTCAGGTTCAGGTTCAAGTTTAATGTTATTGCTTGCGCTTCTTTTAGTCATAATTAGCTTCGCCACAATACATTCAGCGGATGCGTGTGGGCACAGCACCATGGGTAACGGGTGGATTGGAAAATGAGCCTTGCCCGTGAAGACTTCTACTGGCTTCTGCCGCTGGCTACTGGTTCCCGTCCGCAGCTACATGTACTCACATCCATGAGCCGTAGTTGGCGCCGGCGCAGGACAGCAGCAGACCGACACAGGCGGAGAACAGGCGGGCCCCGGACGCCATCTGTACTGCTGTGACGTCACCGTCCCAGGTCAGCGGGCGCTACATGGCCCAGCGCTGGACACTCTCGCGCGTCACTGGGAGCCGGCGGTGCGCCGCCGCCCGCTGCCGTCGCTGGCCCGCCACTGAACGGCCGGGCGCCGGCGGCCGCTCCGGGCCCGCGCCCGGTCCGAGGCCGCCGCACTCGGCGCCATGTGATGGCTCATCACATTATAGTGCTGGGCACCGTTAAGCTCCGCGGGGCAATATATCAGTGTGGCACGGGAAAGGGGCAGGCAGTGGTAGCAGGCGGTTAATTGAGTTTGGAACAATGTCCGATTTATCTTCCGCGTCCCCTACTGTCATCGTTCAGATGCATCGCTTTGTTGTTCACGCCGTGCCACGGTCCCTTCCGCGATTGAAAATCGTTTCGGCGCCCACCGTACACGTCCCAAGGGCCAAATCGCTCAGAAATGGCTGCGATGTCATTCTCTCGACAGTAATAGGCGGTGGAACTCAGTGCAAAACATAGGATTTGTAACGAGTTGCTCATCTGAATGATTTCTATGAGTAGGCAGTTTGTACCAGCAAAACTGGTTTTTGAGTCACAACACACATGAGCAACAGAACTGTCAACACCGTTGCGGTAGGGTTTTGACTCATTGTGCCCGAGCGCCGTGGTTTGAATTGAGGCGGCGCTGCAATCCTGATAAAAGATCGCAGTTTTCCACACAGTTCTGTCAAAGGCAGCAATTTGCAGAAATATTGGTGCAAAAAGAGGACACGGCTAGCAAATGCAAAGGCACCTTTGAATACGTGGGAGGTGTAGCAGACTTCTGTGCCGTCATTCCTCCATCCCTATTTCCCAACATATATCCAGACCGTAAATCACGATAATTTCGTTATGCGACATGACGCGGCACAATCCCTGTACTTTACCTCGCCCTGGGTAACCTCTGCTGCGTTTTAACCTGTGCATCGCGTCAGTCAAGGCAGCATCAAACATGCCGGCTCCGACCAGCCAACCACTTGCAGCAGCCTGAGAAGCAGGCATAGCACACCTCACTATGGCGCCCGTCCCACCGTCCGTTCGTCTGCCGCCCCCCAGCGTCATCGCATTACTGCACCGCTGCCGGGCGGCTTCACACACGAGCTGCCCGGCTGGTCCCACCTGCATAATAGCCGCTGATGAGGTCCTCACGCGGCGGGAGTCCGGGCGCGATCCGTTTCCACCGTCGGCAGCCCTTTGTGGGGCGGCCGGCGGGCGGCGGCGGCGCGCGGCACCCCGGCGGGGCGCGGCGCGGGGCGCGGCGCGGAGCACGGCGCGCGCCGCGGGGCCGGCGCAGGGGACGGCCCGGCCAGGTGCCACCCTGATGGATCGGCTGGGAGACCGAGCACGGCGCTCGATGGTGGTCAGGGGCTAGGATCGGCCCCGGTCAGACCTCGCGCGGCGCTGGAGAGACGGCAGGCCGCGCTCTCCGCTGGTAGGTGCGTTCGCGGAGGTCAATCCACTCGCTGCATGAACTGGTAGGCGGGTGCGAGAGTGTGCCCATGGGATCCCAATATGCCGGCCAGCGCTTCAGTTATAATGAGCAGCCACGCTGGCCAGTGGAAGCGAGACGGAAGGTGAAAAACTGGAGAGTTTTGTTGAAACAAATTGAGGCATTTATTATCAGCGTATTGTGTGATTCACAATGTTGTAAGCCAGCAGAAATCTGTCACATATACAGGGCTCATTATGACTTATGGTACAGAATACACCTGGTTCTCCTAATCACAGCTTGGTGCGGTGTTTACTCTGTAATCTGCTTACGGATGGCTCTTGATCGATAGCTTTAGATTCCGGATGCTATAAGGAAACAGCCCGAAATCATGATAACGCAAGTATGCATATGGCTGGCTTTACACTGCATGAGGCATTTATTCCAAATTGCTATCTTCCATTGCCAGGAAAGAATGCGAGGCTACAGAAGTTGGGCCCTGCCAAACGGGTAGAGCTAAGCCTCTAGATGCATGAGCAAAATCGAATGAACCTCACGTATAGCTGAAGTGGCGATGTATGCATGTCAGTGCCCTGTACGATAGCACAACTCAATTGTAAAAATTGCTCGAGGACTTTTTGTGGCGAGCCCAAATGAGTGTTCCTTGCAAATAGGAGCACAACAATTGTGTTATAGTACACCAGAAAACGTCAATTGGTTCAATCCTGTTTTTTCTTCGTGCATGGGTCTTCATCGAACATTTTAAACCTGAGAATGCAGTAGCAGTGCAGGGTTATAACGGAAGGAAATAAGTTTGGCTAGCGCGAGCATTACCAGCTATATCGTGATCCAGTGTACGTTCGATTAGCACGTACAACTCATAATTTACGTGACGTCGCGTAGAATCTATGCTGCCCGGCTCGTTTTAGCTTTTTGCCGAGAGCCGAACGACAGAGGTCCGACGTGACGCCCCGTAGATGTCATGCTGGATGTGCAGATACTTTTCAGCGTGCTTGACCGCTCGTAGGCAGCTGTGACGCGACGGGTCCAATTAAGTACTTGATGTCACATGAGGTAGCCGATACACAGCTAAATTTCATTTGTCGCGTGAAATCGATTTCAGTGCTGTTTTTGGCAGGAAACGGCAATGGTGAGACAATTTTCAAACCATGGGCTGTCGGGGATGTCGCTTCTGGCTCCATACTACTCAAAGGCACAAGCAACCCGCTGATTCGACTTCACGTGAACGGTATGTGATCCTGCACAAATCGAACGCAGCTATTACTATTTAAGTATTGGTCTCACTATATCACGCCGCCAGCACTCCACAAACATTAACCCCATCACATCGCACCTGTCGCTGTCGACGCATGGACGAGAAGTAACTGAAATAAGAAGCCGCATCCCATCACAGTCATGAGAATGAGGATGCTCAGAAACCGGGTGCTCTGCCCAAGACCTCGACGGAACTAACACATAAGCGTCTTTACAACTCACGTGTAAACGCAAGGCCCGTATCCGATAGCGTCAGCTGCCACGGGTGCCCAACGGCTAGGGCCCGGAAAACCCCCGTAGGTCACCTTTCCCGCTCTCAAGCTCAGACTCACTACCTGCCACTTCTTGGATGGTTAACGCTGAGCCTGTGGTGTTGCATAGGGCGAAACGAATCATGAGCACATTTTGTCGTCCCGCTCGTTCCTGACGCTTCCCCGGACAGGTCCTACGCCAGTACCGGGGAGCCTCACGCCCGGACGATGACACCACAGTGGTTCGCCGGTCACAGGCTGCCCGGGGCTGGACCAAGTCCCACCGGGCCGCCCAGGGCTGGACCAAGTCCCACCGGGCCGCCACGGGGCTGGACCAAGTCCCACCGGGCCGCCACGGGGCTGGACCAAGTCCCACCGAGTCGCCTCGGGACTGGACCAAGCCCGATCGGGCCGCCCCGGTGCTGAACCAAGCCCGACCGGGCCGCCCCGGTGCTGGACCAAGCCCCGCCGGGCCGCCCGGGGCTGGACCGGGCACGACCGGACCGCCAGGGGCTGGACCGAGCACGACCGAGCTGCGCGAGGCTGGACCGAGCACGACCGAGCTGCCCGGGAGGCTGGACCGAACACGACCCGGATGCTGAACCGAGTACGACCGGGCTGCCTGGGGCTAGACCAAGCCCGAACGGGCCGCCCGGGGCTGGACCAAGCCCCACCGGACCGCCAGAGGCTGGACTGAGTACGACCGAGCCGCCCGGGGCTGGACCGAGCATGACCGCGACGGCGCTGAAGCACGCTCTGGTCTGCGTGAATACGGCGCATGCATATCAAGTGGGCGATAGAATTTCAATGTCACGGCCGCCATATAAATCAGGCCAGGGCATTTAGAGGGGAAATGATGGCTTAATATGCTGGCGATGATGCAACATTTGCCTGATGACATTTTGATCATAGGTTCTACTGAAAGGGACTGGCCGGTCAGGATAAGTTAACCATTGATAATGGAAGCTGTGGTCTCTACAGACCTCTGAGCTTTAACGCAAGGACATATAATGGCGCTAATGTGAGTTTGATGCTTGATTATGGTTTATAGAGGAGCATTTTTACTGCCGCTGGAGTTAAGGTAGCACGCAATGAAGGTGACTTGCATAGGAATGGATGGCTACGTTGCTAGAAGAGAAGGCGATGCAGCATAAGCGTATGATGAGGCGGCATGCTCCAGTTTCAGGAGCACACCTGGTGACCACGTACATTCACCTCCCCTGCCAGATGCTGTGCCGCTGCGCTGCAGTCTGGACTACACACGCTGCCAAGCTCAGTGCAGTATTCAAGTACTTTAGTGCCCTTTCAGTGCAGTATTCAGATACTTTGGCATGGACTCAGTGCAGTAGCCAGATACTACCTGGTCTCATTTAGTAAGTTCGGCACTCGCACGTTTGGCAAAACGTGTCTCTTCGCCATGCCGCATCGGTTGCGTGGCCGATGCATTGGGCCGACATTTGCTAAGATATCATACATCCGGCCATGCCCTGAGCTACTACCTCGGGCCACTCGATGTACACCACCGATCGTCACACACACTCTTAAGTTCTGTTAAATCTTGGTCAGTCTTTCCTCACAGTACCAGACGAACGCATCCTTTCGCAAATCTTTTTCACATTAAAAGTTGCTGCCAAATCAAGTTGTCATCCACATCAATGTTGCTATTTCAATTTACGCAGAGATGCCACATCAAACATAGAAAGCAACAGGTGGGGGCATCATCGTCACTGTAACTTCAAGCTCTTTGTTTGTTCCACTTTGAGCGACTTAACAGACAACCCTTTTTTCCTTTCACGAACCATGCCATCTCCAAGCTTATGCGACCCTGGTTTACAAGACCTTGTGGCTGTCTCAAACTGCCATTACCAGCTGTTTGGAATCTCAGAAAGCCAGTTCATATGATCACGCATGCAGCTATGCACAGTTGCGCTCAGAAAACAGCAACGCCAAACAGTGGGTCGCACAAGCGATGGTAGCTGTTGTCATGCCAGACGATGCGTATTTTTCTCGTAGAAACTGTGGGAGATCTGGAATAAAACAGGGTGGTTCTGAATTAGAGCGCAACAAAAGCAAACCACTATTTCGGAATGAAAGTTCAACAGCGGGGAACTAGACGGTCGTCATCGT